GTACCATTTATGAAACTAAGTTAATTAAGCTATATACATATTTTAAAAAAATTTAAATCATTATATATATTGTATTATTAACATTATCATTATTAATTTCCAGTTTTCTCCTCAGTCCGTCTGCAGAACTTGGGCAGTGTCTTTAGATGATAAAAAGCTCGTTCTATGTGGTCAGATGGACAGTTTTAGGCAGTTCCATCACAAAATTTCTCACAGGATTTTTGAACAAACTCTGTAGCTTTTTAAGTTTTTGTGTTGCGCCACTTACAAATTAAGTTCATAGCAAACAAGTAAGAAAATAATTACCGTATTTTCCAGGCCATTAGACGCGCTCTTAAGGCTCTAGCCTCATCAAAAAACGACCGTGCGCCACAATCCAGAGAACCCCATACATGAATCCACTTGGGTGTCCCAGCACGACTTCAGTAAACTATAAACTCGCACCACCAGCAGAACACGCAAACACACACGGAGCAGACAGCGACCGCACAGCGAAACACACCCACAGACACACTCGTCACTCCACGCCGACGAGGAACGGTAACGAAGGAACGAACCTAAAAAGCGACGAGTGAAAAAGCGACTTCTAGACTGAACAACTGAGTCACTGCGAACACGCCGACAATCCGTTGGTCCCAGACAGCACCCTCCCTACACGCCACAACTGAACAAAGCCCAGAGTCACCGTGAACGAACAAACAAACAAAACCACTCACCCATCACACTGTTGGGTTTCCTTTAAAGTCCCACGCGGTTTATTTGTGAAAAAAGATCGAAAATAGACCATTTAATGACAGTGCGTCTTATAATCCAGAGCGACTAATAGTGCGGAAAATACGGTAATATTTCTTCCCAAATCAACAGTTACAGACGCTGTAGGACATGGGGACCAAGAAAAAAATATTTAAAATACAATTTCATAGTAAACTTCTACGAGCAAATGAGAATTACACTGATATTACAGAGTTTAAAAATGTGTGCCGCTTCAGGAAGATCAGTAAAATGACATAAACAAGGCCCGATGTTTGGTCTAGTACGTTCACGTTTCATTTTATTATGATATAGAAACTGATCCCTGCCATTTAAATCTTAAATTTAACTCAATCTGCACAGACGGAGGCGAGAAAATCCGTATCAAACACGTCAACACAACAAACCTCTGCGTCATTCTGCTCTATAAGATTCTGCTCTATGATCTGTACTTTTAAATTCTGTAAAGATGTAACTCATACAGATAAAATAATGCATTAAATCATAAACAAATAATATGAAAAATAACAAATAAATGATTGTCGATTTCTGAGTGACCAGATTTGCCAAATTCCAAACTGGGACACACTCGGGTTGGGATGTTTGGTGTAAATAAAAGAGTGAAAAGAGCGAGAAACGTTGTGCTTTCTCGTGTCAGTCATGATCTGAAGAGCTTCTGTCTCTATGTTTTGTTTTTGGGTTTTTTTGCTTTAAGATCATTTACAAACACGGATTTGACAATTTATGCTCCTCTTTACAAAATTCACGGTTCGGTTCATGTCGCGGTTTAAGGTCGCGGTTTTCGGTTCATTTTTTGTTTTTAATCTTTAATCTCCAGAAATATACTACAGCTTAATTATCCTAAGTTAGGACAGAGCAATAAAAAAAGTTATACAATTATAGTTAGTAATGTAATCATTCACAAACTGAATTTGAACTTTAAGCACATTATTACTGGACATAAGCAGCTGCTGTGTTTCACCTTCCAAACCCTCGTCAGGAGTCGGGACACTCGGTTTAGTGAGACTGCGAGGTTAAGGGTCTGGCTCCGCTGCACGCGTATTTCACCCTACGCAAGCGTAAAAACTACAACTTTTGGACGTGTAACTTTTACAATGCATGGAAAGTGACTGAGGGCGACTCCACTGCGCGGCGAGCCAAACTGTTCACATTTACACATAGATTTAACGCGTTTAACACCTTATTTGACGCTTATTACAAGGTTGTTTGATGCGTTAAATTGTTGTTGTTTGACGAATTATTCTTGTTTAACGCAGCGAATTATTCTACAGATGATAATGATCCTCCCACTGTTTTTCTCAGTCAGTGGATTTAAAGTGTTTTCAGTCAATCACTGACCAAGACAGAGTCCAGAGCAACAACACCGATGTCCCTGTGCACATTTTTACTCTTAAAAAATAAACATTACACTGTGTAAATCATCTATCAAATTTAAAACGGTTGTCGTACACCTCAACATATTTATCTGATTATTTAATTCTCCGTTAGGCCTGTAACAATAATCAATACATCAATTAATCATACAATAACTTTTAACGAGCTTGATAACTTTTCTGGCTGCGATAATTTCTATTTGCAGCTTGTTTATTTCCTCGCTCTCTCTCGCGCTCAAAAGAGACTGAATGTTAGAAGCTTCTATCGCTCTCTGACCCGTCTCGTTTAACATAATGACGGTTGAACCAACATGCACTGTGTTTATCAGCACAGTGGATGCGCGCTTAGTCTGAGTGCAGAAAACGCCGCTGTCTGTGCGGTTTAACATGAAGCCGCGACACAAACGCCGCCGTCAGAACCAAAACAGTTCATCGCCGAGAGCCAAAAAAAGTCACGATGCCGAATCAACGCCGGTGAGCAGGACACGTCTCAACAGACACGTGCGTCAAATGCAGCGAAACGCAAACGACGAGAAGAAATGTCTCAAACAGCCGATAAACCCAAACCCGAGCTCCAGAACTAGCCCCGCCCCCAGGAGAACCCGAAATCCCACAAGAAACCAACAGGACAGTGGCTCCCTCATAGTGGAATAACATTCTGTGTCACGGGTTCAAACAAAAACTTTAAGTCCAAAATGCTGAGGCCACAGCAGCAGCCACAGAGACGAGACACTATATATCAACATAAGTCAATGACTAAAATTACTTTTAAGTACAATTTTGTTACAGAGACTTAATAATCCATTTTATTTATTGCTTTGGTTGTGTTTGGTTCAACAGTGGTTTATTTAAGTGTATTTTTGTGAACACGTCCTCGCTGTGAGTCACACTACATGAGACTAGTCCTGTGTTAACACGTCTGTTTTATTTAGGCCTGTTGTTTTTGGTTGTCTGACACTTCCTGTGTTAAATGTTATTTCGAGAGTGAGGTTAAGTAAGGTGTTTGCATTTTTATTCCATGGTCATTACATTATTTGAAATTGGTCTCAAAATGTCAATATTATCATTTATTGCAATAAATTCTTGGTCAATTAATCGTCCAGCAAAATCTGTTAAGGTTACAGGTCTATTCTCCGTATGCAGTTGTCAAAGGACAAAGACAATATGAAACACACGAACTCAGCAGTGAGAGGATCATTATCATGTGTAGAATCATTTGACACGTTAAATAAGCTTGTAATATGCGTCAAATAAGGTGTTAAAAGCGTTAAATATAAGTGTAAATGTGAACAGTTTGGGTTGACATATCAATGTTCGCTCTAGATATGCGTATAGAGCAGTGCGTCCTGCGCATGTAGATTTTAGAAAATTATTTTTTGAGGCTCTACATGAGCGTAGACGCGTATCCCCGTCAAAATCCAGAGTGAGCATGAATCTTTGGTTGTATTTGTGGGTTTACATCAGTGCAACGTGCACCTGGGGCAGATCTGTGTCATGTGAAAGAGCCCAGGTCCAGAAAGACTCTTAATAATAATATTAATATACAATAATATTTACTTTTGAAATTGTGGCGTTTGTCGTGGTGAGTCTGTACAGAAGGTAAATACAAGTCTGTTCTGTTAGTTTCACTGTGGACCTGATACATGTGACCAAACGCGCCTCAGTGAAGTTTGATCGACTTTACACTGACAAACACAGAGTCAGTGCTGCGCGTGTTCGTCCTGCTGCAGCTTCAGGTGGAGTCGTCTTTGTGTTGACGTGCGGCGGTGCACACACGTCCAGAACCGTGAAAAAAAAAAAACAACGGTTCAGCTTTTTATTCATGAACCGTGCCACCCCCACTCTTTACTCTTGGCGGGATCAGATTAGTCAAGAACTGTGATTTAGACCTAATGTAGTCCTGGTTAAGTCCTGGTGTAGTCCTGGTTTAGTCCTAGTTTACACCTGGTTTAGTCTTAGTTTAGTTGTGGTTTAGACTTGTTGTAGTCCTGTTCTAGTTCTGGTTTAGTCCTGGTTTAGACCTGTTGTAGTCCTGGTGTAGTCCTGGTTTAGACCTGTTGTAGTCCTGGTTTAGTCCTGGTTTAGTCCTGGTTTAGACCTGGTTTAGTCCTGGTTTAGTCCTGGTTTAGACGTGGTTTAGACCTGTTGTAGTCCTGGTGTAGTCCTGGTTTAGACCTGGTTTAGACCTGGTTTAGTCCTGGTTTAAACGTGGTTTAGACCTGTTGTAGTCCTGGTTTAGTCCTGGTTCAGTCCTGGGTCAGTCCTGGTTCAGTCCTGGTTCAGTCCTGGTTCAGTCCTGGTTCAGTCCTGGTTTAGACCAGATTGGTCCAAAATAGTGACACCTGGGACATTTCTTGTATAAAACAGTTACAAATCAGTGTTTATTATTATTTTTTTGTTGCATAAATCTGCTGGGACAGGGGACACGGACTCAAAACTGGGACTGTCCCGGGTAAACTGGGACGTCTGGACTCCTCAGATCCCTAGATTAGTGTAAAAGTGTCGAGTCGGGGGCAGCTCTGCGCTGATCGCCGCAGACAGTTAGCATGCGGAGCTAGCATCACAAAACGCCGCCGAACGATCCGAACAAGCGCCAAACCCGCACCAAACCCGCGCCAAACCCGCATTTCCACCAACACGACCGATAAACCCGCATGTCAGGGCTCGACGTGCACTGACAGCCGCGTAGTTCCGCACGATCCCCGCCGATGCTAACGCCGCACTCGGCCTGGAGCCACTTCCGCCACGGAGCCACGGGACCCGCGGGCGGAGGAGCGTCTGTGCCCGGGGAAGGCGCGCGGGGGAGGCGGCCTGCGGGGCTGCGGAGGGTCCGGGGGGACGGGGAGGAGGTTTTACCTGTCACAGATGAGGGCCGGACATGCTGCGGTGCTCGGGTGTCCGGGTCCGTGTGCGGGGAGCTGGATGTAAACAGAAGCGGCGCACAGAGGCGGATGTGCCGAGGATCAGCTGACCGCTCCCCGACCACGTGACCCCGGGACTAGACGCGGGGAGGAGACGGGCCCCGCTCCGAGACATGAACAAGAAAAGAAAAGAAACAGAACAGAAAAGAACAGAAAGAACAGAATAGAACAGAAAAGAACAGAACAAAACAGAGCCACATGCAAACAGGTAAAAGGAACTGTACGAAAGATTTAGATTTTAAATGTTCTATATACAGTGTTGGGGAGTAACAGATTACATGTACAGTTACATAATCAGAGTACAAATTATAAGTAAATGTATTCAGTTACAGTTACTGTTTCAGTGAGTGGTGATTGGATTACAGTTCATTTGTTGAAATAAATGGATTACACAGCGGTATTTTCCTGTTTTCACATTTTGGGCTAAACCAGGACTAAACCAAGACTAAACTAGATCTAAACCAGGATTAAAACCATGTCTAAACTAGAGCTAAACCAGGACTAAAACCAGGTCTAAACCAGGACTAAATCATGCTGTGTGGACGTGTCTCCTCGTCTTCTATCAATAATATTTTTAATACGGTTGAGTAAAGTCTGGGCTTTTTATTTTCTTTTATCAGACAAAACATTTTATGTGAAGATTTCCTCGTCTTTGTTTCTCTACAGCAAATCAAGTAATCCAAAGTATTCAGATTACATTACTCACTTTAAGTAATTTAATGGATTACGTTATAAACTACATTTTGGTGTATGTAATCTGTAATCTGTAGGGGAATACATTTTAAAAATCACCTTCCCAACACTGCAAACAGACCTGTCAGACCCGTGTGCTTGTGTTTTCTTTTATTCACACATGTTTAGGGGGTCAGCTCTATGTTCCCACAGCCCAACAGTCCCACAGCTCTATGTTCCCTCATTTCTTTTTTATTTTTTTATTTTAATTAATTTAAAGGGATGATTCAGATTCATTTCAACCAAGGGTCCTTTACTCCATGACCTCGAGCCAACCCCCCTCACCCCATCCTAGGTATTGTGTTCCTACAGTTCCCTATAATTTAAGTCTTATTCTCCTGCAAGAGCCGCTGGTCCAAGATGTTTGCTCATATGGCTGCTCCTATGGAGAATAGGTTGGGTGTAATTGACCAAACTGAGAGAAATGGGGATAAAATCTGATGCAAATTGATGATAAAGGAAATGCGGGAACATAGGGCCTAATTTTGAAAAAAGGCACACTCCTGTTTAGGGAGACCAGACGATCCCTATTTAACCGGGACAGTCCCAGTTTTGAGCCCTGTGTCCCCTGTTCCAGCAGATTTATACAAAACCACTGATTTGAGGGACAAAATTTAATTTAATTTGGTAAACAAATTAGAAGAACACATTAGAAATGTAACTACAGAGGCTTCCAAACTGTACATAAATGCACCTTTCTGTCTCATATAAACTACTGTGTGACAAACAAGAGCCCACTGCTCCTGTACAAAGGCTCTATAGACTCTGAAAACATCAAAAATCTAACTCTTATCATCACTGTCACATACTGAGCAAATATAATTTTCTAAATTGGGAAAACTTAATTATTTACTCAGACCTCATTCTGGTCTAAAAAACATTCCATGATCTTGCTCCACCTCCATTAAAAAAGTTTACACAGCTGAATTTAAAAACAAACACTGGAGTATCGAGCAGAGTGTTGGGCGTGTTCTATTAATAAATGACACTGGAATCAATCGACTGAAATCAAAAAAATTGATTCCCTATTCAATACAATTCTAATACAAAGCTCTGGGTCAAATCACTGCCCCTGGCGCCTTCATCTACTCAGGACTTACATCTGATCTGAACGCCCGTGTTTCCCGCAACCCAGAAATATAAAACAACATGAATATGCAAATATATGTTACACGTCTTGGATCCATCTGAGGACAGTGAGGTACAGGTTTTAGCCAGAGAGAAAAATTGGTTTGAGAGTTGAGTGAAAGAAACCATTTTTGTTAAGAAAGAGAATCCTTCTCTAAACAGAAACGGAGGCCTCAGACACCATCTACCTCCTATTTACAACTCCATCCTCAAACCTTATTCAGAACAAACAAGAACAACAGGTGTAGCCAGGTCAGGTCCAGAGGTGTGGAAGCTCCATTATGACCATTTATTGTTATGCTAATTAGACCCAACACCCTGTACAGGTCAATGGGCCGAACTAACAAACAGAAACTGTAAACAAGTGTGTGTTAGTTTCAGTGTAGTTTCAGTGTAGTTAGCTCCTCCCTGCAGATATAAGGAAGTGTCCACCAGCGTCTGACCAGAACTGAAGAAGCAGCTTGGATGAGCTGAGAAACGTCTTCAACCAAACTAACTTTTGTCCAGTCGACAAACTGAATTTTTCTCCTCATGGATTCTACCTGGACGACTGAGGGATTCTTCACACATCTTGGATCCTCCCTGAAGCATCTGCGTTGTTCTTTACCATAAGAGGATGACAGCCAGGTTTAAATTACAGCCAAGTTTATTTTGGCTTGGTGCAAGTCAAGACGACCCCACTTCAGCTGCTCTGTAAAACCTCTACAAAACCTCCATCTCTGCAAAGTACCTTAAAAACATCACATTGTTGTATTGTTAGTTTGTTGTATTGTTACCTCCGCCAAGGAGGTTATGTTTTTGCCAGCGTTTGTCTGTTTGTTTGTTTGTCTATTAGCAACATAACTCAAAAAGTTATGGACCGATTTTGATGAAATTTTCAGGATTTGTTGGAAATTTGAAAAGGAAGAACTGATTTCATTGGGGGTGATCCGGAAGAAATCCTGGATTCTGGATCACTTTGAAATTTTAGTTAACATTGTGGTAAATGGGGCCAAAAATTTTGTTTCTCCATATCTGGGTTAATTATTGACCAAACCCCATGAAATTTGACTCAGGGATGGACAATGGGATCCTCTTTCATATTCCAAATTGAAAGATACGAGACAAATATTTATGGAAAACACAATTAATATGAGGGGGACTGTAGTCCTTGGCGGAGGTCTGCGCTCTCTGAGTGCTTTTCGTTAGTTTGTTATTGTTAGTTTGTTGTTATTGTTGTGTTGTTATTGTGTTTGTTTGTTTTGTTGTTAGTTTGTTTGTTGTTTGTGTTGTTTGTTGTTGTTTGTTGTGTTGTTAGTTTGTTTGTTTTGTTGTTGTTGTTAGTGTTGTTGTGTTGTTATTGTGTTGTTGTTGTTTGTTGTTATTGTGTTGTTTGTGTTGTTATTTGTTTGTTGTTGTTGTTATTGTTTTGTTGTGTTGTTATTGTTAGTTTGTTGTTGTTGTTTGTTGTTAGTGTTGTTAGTTGTTGTTGTTGTTGTGTTGTTAGTTTGTTGTGTTGTTAGTTTGTTGTGTTGTTAGTTTGTTGTGTTGTTAGTTTGTTGTATTGTTAGATTGTTGTGTTGTTGTTCACGTTGTCGGTTTAATGTAAACAGTTTCTTTAATGTGTTTTGTTCTGCAGATGGGAAGGAGCTTGGAGCTAAATCTGGCACAGAGCATCTTTTCTGTCTGAGTTTAATGTTTTGTTTACTGTTCTTGTTTAAAATAAATAAATAAAATGTCTAAATCATGTGTGTGGATTAAATATTATACATCTATATCGGATCGGTGAGTCTGTAATGATTATTTGTCCGTGGAACATTGTGCTGTGATCTGAAAGCAGCGCTCAGCAGTTTTTCATCTCACACTGGACCTGGACTTCTTCTGTGTTGAAGTAGTTTGGCCTAAATTGGTCGTTAGCCTCTGTAAACAGAACGGTGCCGTCCGCGGGGTCAATGAGGACGCTCTGCGCACGGTTAATTAGCGCCGTTTCACAGATCAGACCAGTCACGTCGACGTGAGCGGCGGCGAACTCGGCCTCATCAGACAGAATCGCACAAAAACACAGAAACGACCCCCACCGCAGCTGTCTGATCGCACGCACACATCTGCCCCGGCCGCCCGCGCGCGCCGTTATCATCATTATTAAGGCTAATATTCCCCATGATGCTCCGGGGCTTCGGCTCGTATCGCCATGGCAACAGATGGCTAAAAACAGCAGAGGGTTATTAAATGGGGCTATAAAATGTGACCGAATGGGCCCCGGTGCGGCGTAATGTGGACGAGGAGCAGAGGACAAATATGAGACAAACAAACAAAGGAACAGAAGAAGAACGGCCGACGTTGTTTTAAAAGAAAACTGCAAAGACAAAATCCATGATTCCGTTTCACTTTGTTCGTGGAAGATTCCAGAGAATTTGTTCAATAGAAAACCTTAGTTCCAACCAGGACTGTGCAAAAATATTGAAATATCGATATATCAGATAATTTAATGTGATGATACAGGATCGATATCGTGTGCTGCTGTATCGATATATTATTTCTGGTATGTTTTGTTAAATTATTTTGTTACAGCTACAGTTTTGTTGTTTGTGCAGAAGAAGGAAACTGGTTTATGCGACACATTTGATATTTTCACTGTTTTGATGATTGAAATGTTTGTGTTTTAAAGCTGCTCGATTATGGAACAAATTATTTTGGTCAATATTGAAATCACAATTATTCATGATTTTTTTTTTTTAGTTACATGATTTTCTCAAAAAAAAATTCCACCTTGTTATTGATAATTTATACAAATCTTTCAAACTAAAAATAAATCTAGGCTACAAATATGGTACATATTTTCTATTTGGAGCAGATCTATTAAGGCATAGAAAAACATAAATGTATCCAAAATAAACTATATCCAGCTGTTCTACAATCTCTGTATTTAAAAATATAAAAAAATATATACTTATTTATATTAAAAAATATCCCAAAATAAACTTTGTTAAGCTTTAGGGCGACTCACATTAGGACTTTAGAACTGTGCTGTGTGTTCTGTGTTCTGCACTCACCTGGATGAACTGGAGCCAGAAACGCCCCTGTGTTCACTTCCTGTTTGGAGCATGTGTCCATAGTTGGTCTTTTAGGCTACATTTATAACCTGTAACGAATCACCGTATCAGAAGTGATCTGCGTCCAGACACGTCGTTTCTGTGTCTGCAGGTCTTCTCTCTCCACGCAGCTTT